GCTTGAATGAAATTTCTAATTATCAAGTGAAGCTGAAATTCCCCCCTTGTTTGGGGCTGTAGCTTCAGGAGAGAAGCAGAACTGTGACTCTGGTACAGAACTTCTCCAGAAGTGGCTGGTTTCATAGCTACAGGGAAGGAGAACCATCTCAGCGCAGGTTGTTGCCTTCAGAGAATCTGAAAGTCGCTGTTCCACAGCTATTTGTCACCATAATTATAAATATTTGGGAAGTTTAAACAGCAAAAAGGGTAAGGTCTCTTAATAGGTAGATAAAATTCTGTTCCCAGGACAATTTCTTGTGAAAACAGCTTTAGGCACTGTGGCTGTACTTCCTGCAGCCTGAAACTCTGTTATTAATAAAGTGTATCCCAGTTGATTGATCAAGTAGGATGACCCTGGAGATGGGAGTCTATACTGTTCATATTTAATTTTGCCCCATATCCTCCCCAAACCTGTGGGGCAGGAAGGAATTGGTTACTTTTCTATGGCTATTTCAAGGTTCCTCAAAGCAGCAAATGATTTTTTTTTTTTTTAATTTATAAGAGAATTTGCAGGAAGAGAATTCAAACTTATAATTGCTGCAGAGCCCTAGAAAGAAGCCTTTTGCAGTCCCACTCTCAGAAAGGCAGACCTCGCTAACAAAGGCCATCGCTGTAGCGTTGCAGACTGCGCAGCGTCCCGTAGTGCACCCACAAAGTAGGATGCACTTCTTTCTGCAAGGGCATTGACACAAAGCCACGGAGAGCACCAGTCTGCTGTCAGTGGCCCTTCGCGAGCTGCACGGTTCGTCTTCAGGATCTCACACTGAAAGATGCTGGAAATGACACGCTCTGAAATAGGAACCAGAGAGTAATGCGGAGTGAGAACTTCCTTATCAGTAAATGATTATTAAGGGAAGTAGACCTAGAAGACCGATGTTGAACAGTAAATCATTACCAAAACTGGGAACAGCTGATACCTGACGATATACCCTCTTCTGTTTCTCATGTTTTTACCAGGACATAGGCCCAATAGCTCATATTTGTGCACTTCGTACATTTTATTCCTATATGGTCTCCGTTGCTCCATGTCTGTGCTGCTTTTCTAAGCTTCCATCCTCCACCTTGCTTTTTTAATTGTGGACTTGTGTTTTGTCTCAAGTCATGTCAATAACTGAGTGCTGTTTGAAGGTCAGCCTCAAGAGAGAAATTGTGCCATTTCTCCCCAGTGATTTTCATAGATTTAGGTGGGGGATCTAAACCACCCAGGCCTCCCTAAGGCTTTTTCGCCCGTTTCCTTCTCTGTTAAGAAAGCTGTCGTAGAAGAGTACGAAAGGATCCAACTTCTCTCTCTCCATTTTCTTTTCTGACCGCCAAACAGGATGAATCTCTTCAGCGCCTGCAGAAGGAGTCTGAAATCTTACAGAGAACATATGCACACTACTTTGACCTAACAATTATCAACAACGAAATTGATGAAACTATCAGGCACCTGGAGGAAGCCATCGAGCTTGTGTGTACAGCCTCACAGTGGGTCCCGGTCTCCTGGGTCTACTAGACCGGTCATGAGAGAATTGATCATTACTGGGAACCACCTCATAAATGGAAAACCTCTTCATTATTGACCTTGTGTCAACAGGTCTTGGCCCCTAGAGACTACCTAGATGTAGTGTGACCTAAATTTATAATTATTGTCATGTCCGAATAGATAGGAGGAGGGGGAAAAACAAATTAAACACTAATTTAAAGAGACAGTATCTTTTTTTTAATCATTTCTCCTAAACTTTAATAAAATGTATCTTTAAATATATGTATTATTCAGTCCTTTGGAATGTTGTATTTTTGGAAATCATAGCTTTTTATTTCAAGGGCCCCTAAAAACTGCACAAAATAGATGCTGCTTTCTATAATCTATTTTAATAGTAATAATAATATGATTCTGTTACCTTAACTTGGGGGTGGAACACTACATTCTTTTTAGAGTCTGATTTTATGGATTGGAATACTTTGCTTTCCTTTATTTATTTGAAATAATTAGTCTAGTGGTTACGAAACAAATTCATAAATTTTAAAAGCCTTTCTTCGCTTTTTTTTTCCCCTAGGATAGTATTTTTGAGTACTTTTGTGTAACATCCAGATAACGTGATACTGTCTCTTTGAAGAACTCTGTAAAACTTTTAGAAATTTGAAATTGGGTCTTGACTCTTAATGCATGTGGACAGTCGCAAGCGTTCATGCCGTTGGTGTATCTGTGTTGAAAAAAACTGTAATCTACAGCAAAGTACATTCCGTTCATGGGAACACGTACCCAAGGGAATAAAGTAAAATATTATTCTGACTAAGTTGTAAACCTATGCACATCCCTTGCATTTTGGGCAACTTTATAAAAAAAAAAAATGATTTTTATTAATAATAATCATGTAGTGAAATGTGTTTGTAATTTTGTCTCAATTTAATTTGTTGTAAGGTGGGAGGGGGCAGTTACTGGTTTCACCATTTCAGATCTGTGTCGTCTGAGAGTATTAACGTTTTAATTAAGTTTAAGCAAAGAAATGCTGATTTTTAATATGTATGTAATTGTTAAAAAATGCACACATTTTAAAAGAAAATACTGTGCAATGAAGAAACCAGTTTAGGCATTGCGATAAACTGACTATTCCAAAAAACTCATCTACAACAGCCCTGTAAATTCCTTTAAAAATGGTAATTGACTCTACAGTCTGACCAATTTTTTTTATTTTAAATATACTTCCTTTTATGTGTTCAACAATTAAATGCTTTTGGGTCCTTCATTTCATTGCAGGGAGTTTCAAGAACAAATCAGTGACTCTTGCAGTGAGAAAAAGTTTCTCAAAATCTGATAAGGGAAGGTCCTGGTAGGGGCACAGCCCGTCCTCTGTTCCAGGAGCTCTGCTCCACCTGTACAAGCACAGGTTGAGCACAGGTTGAACTCGTTTAGAATTAGAGCAGAGCCAAGAAAGAAAATGTAACCATGTGCCTGGTGCTGACCTGTTTTGTTTCCCTTCTTCATGCTCTCACTGGCCCAGATGGTTTGCATTTTTTTCTGAAAATGTTTAACAGAAGCAAGCATTGCCACCAAGAGGTGTTCCTTAAAATGATTTCTCTTAAATGCTTGGTTGGCTGTGCTGTTGTATCATACGAGGTTTAGTGGTTGTATTGAAATGATACAGTGTTCTCAAAAGATTTATCCTCAGAGTTGAACTATCAGCTGTAATTGGTCTGTGGGCTGTTCCAGTTGTTTGGGACCATTGCACGTGTAATCAAAAAAAGTTCTTACGGTTGAACCTTTATCATAGGAGTAATTACTATAAAGTGCATAGGTTGCTAATTTTCTCCTGCCTACTCCTACTGCAGGTCATGTGGTCAAATGTCTGTCCTTCTTGGAAAATCCTTAGGTGAAATCTAGGCATCCCATCCAGCCAGGTGTTAGGCAAGGTGTTTATTTTATGCAGCGTTCCCAGCTCAGCTTGCAGCCTGCAGCGCAGAAGGGAACTTCATCCATCGCTTTGTCCCAC